TTATCATAACTCAGTAGATATCATTCATCAAACTAATCTTCTTCTCTGCAGTGATGAAGTCTTTACAAAGAGTTTTTAAGGCTTTCTGCTCAACCAACCTGATAAAAATAGTCTAATTTATTTGTATATAACAGGTGTCGTCACAAAGCAGCTTTACAGAAAAATCCGGGTCTGAGCCCCCATGAGCGTTGCCAATGGAGACAGTGGCCAGAAAAACTCCCTAAGAGTGAGAGGAAGAACCACTGAGAGGAACCAAGACTCAGAAGTGGATAAAGTTTTACTAACTAATACAACAAAACAGTCATTCGGTCTTTTGTTCAGTCGTATTTTTACAGTGTGTCTCATCAAAGCCATTAAACCGAGCGAGTCTATCTGATCTGCTGCTCCACATCCTCTCAGGCTGAGATAAGAGCGCTTCACTTCTAAACTCTGCACCTCATTAAAGAGCTTTCAGGGAGGGTTCAGTGAAGAGACTAATGCTCCTCCACACAGGAAACAGGAAGTGGGTCTGTCTGAAGATCAATAATGTTGTTTCTGAGGTCGGTCACTCCCACAGCTCAGCGTCCACTCATTCTCTGATACTGTCTGACAGAGCTCTGCCTGCTGTTATAGAGTCTGAGACGTTTTGACACCTAATATAGCCGAGAAACGTCTACTTTGACAGAAAGGGGCCGTTAGACTGACACTCAGGATAACCAATCACAGAGCTCGGTTTCAGCGCGACGTGTAGAGGCGCAACAAAAACAAACCTGCAGGAAACGAAAGAGCCTGCAAACTACTAAAAACTACTCAACACTTCAAGGCAAGTTTATTTATGTTGCACGTCTCATGCACAAAGACAATTTAGTGACCTTTACATAAATAAAGTAAACAAAAAATCAAAAGACAAAATAAAGACAAAGAGCTGAAGAGGGAAAATCCATAAACATAAAAAGTAAACAACGATGTACAGCAAAAAATATAATATAATAACAAAGTAATGAACAGATACAAAGTGCAGAAGCTTGAAGAAATAAACTAATAATTAAAAAAAAGGAAAATTAAAAAGCATAAAAAGGAAATTATAGACAAAAGTGTTATTAAAATACTAGTAAAAGTGCGTCATTAAAAATAAAGTTCACATATACTTATAATGAAATTATTATATCATTATAATTGTAGCTTAATTATGTTACTCAAAGTTGATTTAATCCTTCAAATACACTCTTTCAAAGGTTCTTTAGTAAAGGCAATGGTTCTATTTAGTACCATGAGTTCTATTTGCATGGTGAAATGATTCTTCAGATGGATGGAGAGTGTGTTGTATAGGGTTCTATACAGCACCAAAAAGGGTTCTGCTACTGTTCCAAGGTTGACATCATAACAGTAGCAGAACTATTTTTGGTGCTACACAGAACCATAAACAGCACATTCTTCATCAACCTGAGGAACCATTGTCTTCATCTTGCTCTAAGCTGTCAGCGCGAGCTCTCATGCTGAATGTGGTGTTTCCCTGCTGTTGTTCTCATTGTCATGTTATTCTTATGTTCTGAACTGACTGATGGAGACACTCAGACTCAGCTGAGAGTTTCAGAGATGTGTGACGCTTCTTCATCACTGTATGGAGAAATGAATGAGACCATTCACAGCCACTGGGTAACACAGAGCCCCTCCACTCAGCCTGCAGCTGCTTTATCTGACTTTAGTTAACCTTTAGTACGTTTGATACTGTCTGTGTCACTTTATTATTCTTTTAAATGATTTATTTCATTTATTTATTGTTTAATCAACGTTCACTTCTTAGCTGCAAGTTATTTTTTTATTGTAAACGTAGCTAATTTTAGCTGTACTATAATTACACTGGTAGCTCGTGTATTTGTAGCTGGTGTGCTCTCAGGTCTGCTGGCTGTGATCTTTGGGCCCTCAGACAGCACTGCATTAAAAACAGACACGATTCTGTAGTGGAAATCACTGCATGAGCTCAGAAACACTTCTGAAAACCACTGTCTGTGAAAACAGTTCATCACTGCATCCACAAATGCAAGTTTAAACTCTTAAATGCAAAGAAGAAACCAAATATAAACAGGATCCAGAAATGCTGCCACCTTCTCTGGGCCTGAGCTCATTTACACTGGACTGAGGGGAAGTGGAAAAGTGTCCTGTGGTCCGACGAATCAACATTTGAAATTCTTTTTGGAAATCATGGACACTGTGTCCTCCAGGCTAAAGACCACTCAGCTTGTTATCAGTGCACAGTTCAAAAGCCAGTATTCATGATGGTATAGGGGGGCATTAGTGCACATGGCATGGGTGATGTGCACATCTGTGAAGGCACCATTAATGCTGAACATTATACATGTTTTGGCAACATATGCTGCCATCCAGACGACGTCTTTTTCAGGGAAGGCCTTGATTATTTCAGCAAGACAATGTAAAACCACATTCTGCATGTATTACAGCAGCATTGCTCTGTATTAAAAGAGTCTGTGTCCTAAACTGACCTGCCTGCAGTCCAGACCTGTCACCACTAATAACATTTGATGCATTATGAAATGAAAAATATGACAAATGAGCCCCTGAACTGATGAGCAGCTGAAATCCTGTATCAAACAAGAACAGAAAAACATTTCACTTTCAAATCTACAGCAGCGTCTCCTCAGTACACAAACGCTTGCAGAGTGCTGTTAAAGAAGAGGTGATGAAACTCAGTGGTAAACAGGCCCCCGTCCCAACTTTTTTGGAACGTGTTGTTGGCATCAAATTCAAAATGGGCAAATATTTTTCCAAAAACAATAAAATTTCTCAGTTTCAACATTTTATTTGTTGTCTTTGTACTATGTTCAATGAAATATAAAGTTTAAATGATTTGTACATCATTGCATTTTGTTTTTATTTACATTTTGCACAGCATCTTAACTTTTTTGGAAATGGGGTTTTATTTATTATTATTATTTTGTTCAACATGGTGAGCCAAAGACAAATTTACAGAACTGGAAAATAAGGTTTATTCAATTTATTCTTTGTTTTACATCTTCTATTCCTTTATTTGATTTTATTTATTTTATTCTTATTTGATCTCTTATTTCTTATTTATGTTGTTGTAATTTTAATAGTTTATTCAGATTTGATTGATTTTTACTATTAAATTTACTATTATAATTATTAATCTTTTTTTAAGCATTTGATCTGTTATTACAATCTAATTTTTTCAATCCCTGTTTTCTGTATTGGAGTCTCCCTCAGTGTACTCTGAGTTTAAATTAAGGTTGATTGATTGATTGATTGATTGATATGCAGCCGTTTGTTTATTACTGTATGAATCGTCTGTTTAAAACATTGGAGCTGTTCCACAGTTGATGCTAATGCGCTGCACACAGATAGATATTTTCAGTAAAGCACAGTTAAGTAAGAGTTTAACTGACAGTTCGAGTTAATCTGACGATGTTGTGAATAAACAGGGTAAAATCAGCTGAGACCAGCTACTCTGACTGAGCTGAGTGAGTTCAGCTCACTGCAGGTGTGGATACTGAACAATATACAGTCACTAAAATATACAGTTATTTAAGCTTCGGTCTCTTCAGTTAATTCACTTATTTGGTTTAGTAGGTTTGCATGATTGACTCTTTGAAGTAAAATCAACTAGTTTAGTTTACAGTGTTTACAGCTCTGTATAAACACAGATACTTTCATTCGGAAGATAAAATGTCCTTCTGTTATTAATATGCTCCTCATGCAGCATCTCAGCTGTAATATTAGGGGCCCAAGCACTCTTTTGTGTTTGAATTTTTAGCATTATCTCTTTTTCTACTTCTTCTTCTTCTTCTTATTATTATTATTATTATTATTAGAGACAAAAGTGGTACATTTAATATTTTTTAAACTTAGTTTTATTTAATTTAGTTTATTTTTAAAATAATATGTGTAATGATTCTGACTAGAGTTAATACATGATAAATGAAAAAAATCCCCATATTTAGAAATTAATTGATGTTTTATATGTTTAATATACACATTGTTATTATTATTGCTGATTAACAATTTGGTGGAAATTATTAAATTAGGCAATAAGAAATAAAATAATTATAATTCAAAAGTACATTCAATAAAATCCTCTGTATTAACAATATAGACATCATCAACAACAACAACATCAAGAAATACAGTAGAGTGCAGTGCTATCAGTCTGAGTGGTCTGTGTAGTTACAGTGAAGGAAAACAGGAGCGTCTCTAACGATCTGAACTGAATCCTGTATTTAAGTCCTCCTAAAGTCCTGATCAGATAAAGAGATTAAAGCTCTGCACTTAAGCTGCTTTATCTTCATCAGCACACACGGCTAACAGGATCAGTTCAGTCATCCCTCCACGGATTACACTTTACAGTTTAGAGGGTCTGAGTGAAGAATTAAACTCCCAAATTTTCATTTTCTGTTCCACCTTAAACGGTGCAGCAGGTCTTCACCGTTTAAGGTGGAACAGAAAATTCCAATAAGAACCTGAAGAACACACTCTCAGAAATAAAGGTTCTAAACTGTCACTGGGGTGGTTCCCTCAAGGCTCCATCTCAGTACCTTTAGTCAGGGAACATAACTGAACCATAATCCACTGAAATGATATGTTCTAAGCTGTGCTGACTCCACACACCCCGTCTCGTCTCCAGGCTTTTATTTTACTGTTCTGTTTAAAACATTCGGTTATGAAAAGGTACAAATACGAACTTTTCACCTGGAAAAACTTATTTAAGGTTCACAATCAGACCTTAAAACCACTGTTGGAGCTTTGAGGAACATTTACACTGTTTGTTCCTTGATGAGTGAAAAATGTACCTGAACAGAACCTTCATTTCTAACAGTGTGTGAAGACAGCTTCACTAAAACGTGTGAGGAAGGCGTGTGATGATGAAGGCATGCCAACTGGTGGAGTATACGCTTCCATTAGCCGCCTTGTTGGGGAGAAAAGTGGTTAAAATTGATCCTTTTTTTTTACTATCGCTTTAAGATCAAATGGGAAATGACTGGTTGTACCAAACAAAAGGCTGAGTTAATGGAGCTATTCTCCAGGGTGGAGGGGTGGAGGGGTGGAGGGGAGGAACAGACAGGTCCCGGCCCCTCCCTCTGCACTCCCATCCCCCATCACTCCCCCCGCAACCCCCCTCCACCACTCCCTGAGGCTCAGATGGGCTCCATTGTTGTGGATCTTTGTCTGAGCTGCTGTGCTGTAGAGGTTCTGTTAGAGAACACTGAGCGTTCATTAATAAACACAGATCAGGCTGCATTGAGCTGAACTGACTGTCTCAAGATCAAGAGCATCAACAAAAACACAGTAAATAGAGCTGATCAGCCTCACAAGAGCTCAGACTGACACCATCACAGGCTTACAGTCACAGTGTGATGGTAGCTTCCCAAACATAGCTAATCAGCCAAGACAAGCTCGGTGTCTAAAGTTCACTTCTTATGATAAATGAAACCACTGAGTACCTACGTGGAATTAAGTAGCTGTGAGTGTAAATGAGCGCAACATATCTTAAGCCAGGTCAGCAATACACGGCTTCAGAGCTGCATGCAGCCCTTTACTGCCCTGTTGTGGCTCCACAGCTGAATCAGATTAGTAGGTAAAAATAAAATAATTAATTAATTATTAATTAATTAATTATTTACAGTAAAATAAAGCTCTGCTGATCGTTCAACACAGTTTAACAATAAATGGTCTTAAACTCTGGAGTTAATGTAGAACTGCTGATTCACCCTTTAACCCTGAAGATCAGCGCAGACTGCTGGTCACCATAGCAGCACAGACAACAATCTCTCCTAGCTAGTAGCTAACGAAACGGCAAAGAGAGAGATTTAAGATGCACATCGATAATTTGGAGACGAATGGGCTTATTTACATTATTAATCACAGCTGGTTCCTGATACGTTTAATCTGCAGTGAAAAGCTGAAGTCAGTTTCTCTTTCACCAGCTTCTCGTTCAAATTTTCACGTTCCGCCTTAAATGGCGCAACAGTTAGCTACGTAGTTAGCTACATTCTGGCGCCTCAGGCACCATTTGAGGTGGAACAAGAAAATTTAAACAAGAAGTTGGTGAATTAGAAGCGACTTGAGTCTCATAAAAAGTCGGACATTGAGAGACATTTTACAAGAAACTGTTCTATTTTTGTCTTCTCACAGTGGAAGGATGGACAGAAACACCTGTGGATGTTTTCAGATCTGATCAGCTTGATTTTCTCCTCTCTCTCAGAGATGAGAGCTTTAAGTGCTGTTTATCTGATGGGGGCAGTTTTGGGGTCGACCAGCTCTTCCAGGTGATTGTTAGGAGACACATTTTCTCTGTAGCTTTTAATCCGTTTTTTTTTATATGCAAGTGGATTATTTATATTTAATCTTCCCACAAACGTCTCCTTAAAGAGTTCGGAATCGCTGGCTTCAGTTTATTTCGTTATTTTTAACTGTTCCAGGTGAGTCAGTCACCAAGAACTAGTACACCTCCACTAAGTGCACTAGATAGTAACCTGGAATACCAGTATGATGTGTCCATCACTGCTTTCAGAACTATCAGAGTTCACCAGTGTCTCAGAAGCTGTAATGCTAGCAGTGTGTAGGTCCGGGGGGTGTGCAGTGGAGACCCTCCAAAAAATCATAGGGCTCCCGAATAGCTCGATCAGGTCCTGCTCTCTGGAGAAAACGGTAAACTTGTTTAACTACACATCCTTCTTTACACATGACCATCGCTGTAACTCTGACATCACAGAGAGGAACAGGAGTGTGTGTCACTGTGAACAGCCCTGCTGCTGCTCCGTCTCCAGCAGCTGATAGAACTCCACAGGCTCCAGCTCTACACAAACACTGCTGAAGATCACAGCGTCTGAGCTCCACTTCTCACTGCAGGGGTCCTGCAGAGGGTCAGGTTTTCATTTAGCAGCACAATAACAACACACTGTGCTTAACGACACAACATACTAATTATAGCATATACACAATCACAGACATCACCACCGTCAGATTCAGCTACATATAGTAGTGTGACCCGTATGTAGTATATCGCTGTTGTCGGGAGAAAACCTTGTATCTCCATTTTTGGCGCCTTTCAGTTTTTGACATAATTTTCAAACCACCTGTTCCTCTTTACATTGTGTGTAAATTTCATGATGAATGGACTAAAAGAAACGACCCAAACTGACTTGGATCTATTGGTTCCACTGACTTACATTTAAAGTAAAGTGTGTTTTTCCTTCTCCTGTAAAGTTATACATTTTGGAGATACAAGGTTTTGATCCGACAGCAGAACTATATAAACACAAGTACTTATATGTAATAATCATAATATGACCCATATGTAGTATACATACACGTAAGTGCTTATATGTACTAATAATGTGTCCCCTATGTATTATATTTACATGTGTCTGTATGTAATAATAATATGTTCTATATGTATTATATAAACTTAAGTGCCTGTATATATAACACACCCAATATGAATTATATACGTGTAGGTACTTATATGTAATAGTATGTTGCATATATAGTATATTTATGCATAAGTACTTGTAATAATAATAATAATAATAATAATATAATTATAATTATAATTATATAATTATAATAATAATAATAATAATAATAATAATAATAATGTATTATATAATGTATTATATAATGTGTATTATATTTATATGTGTATATGTATGTACCTATATGTAATAATAAAGTCCTATATGTATTTTATACATATGTGTAAGTATTTATATGTAATAATATGTGTGTGTTATGTATAAACATTCACAATGTCTTCACTTTATTTGTTTAATTGTAGTCTCGCTGTATATGTAGCTAAGTGAGATGCTTTGGTTTCCACCGTCTGCATGTTGTGTGAGATGATAACAGTGTCTGCTCAGAGACTGAGTGTAAATGTAAATGTGTGTGTGTGTGAAATGTGATGACCTGTCTGTTGGTTTAGTGTTGTCCTGTTGTTCTCTGGTTTCACTACAGGACGCGTTTGTCCTGTAAATGACGACCCACAGACTCCCGGTCAGTGAGCCGCAGTCCTGTATGTAGAGAGTCCTGCATTAGCGCAGTGACTGAGCTGTGAACTACGAGACTGAGAGCATTAAACCCTTTACGGCTCACAGACACGCAGCACTGAGTCACTCTACTCTGGAACAGATCAGATTATTGTTACATTCCAGACACAGAGAACAAACAGCACCGTGATGCACCGTCACTCACGCAGCATAGCTACAAACATAGCAACCACCTGGAACCTGAACCGTCTGTTTTCATACATAACAATCATTCTTAAAAAAGGTGGTTATTCAAGCATTCTTTAGTGAAGAAAATGGTTCTGTAAAGAACCATGAACACTCAAAAGAACCATCTACATGTTCTTTGCATGGTCAAATGGTTCTTCAGATCGATGGAGAATGTGTTGTATATGGTTCTATACAGAACCATTTTCTTTACTAAAGAACCCTGAAGACCCGTCTTTTTGAGAGTGTACTGTACCGTCCTGTCCTGGGTGAGGGCTGTGTTTGGGGTGACGTCAGTACTGTTTACATTAGATGTGCTGATCTGTCACTGTGAGATGTCAGATGTGTGATCTACACTGAGACGCTGTAAGTGTTCTGCTGGAATCCTGCAGGTTCTTCAGTGAGAAAGGTCTAGAACTGCACTCTCAGCTCTGGATATGATGTCACATAAAGGTGAAGAGGCTGCCATTTGTAACGTGGAGAGCGAGAGAGACGCACATACAGATGCCCATTACCAGAGAACCGGCTCTGCTGTTATTGCATAATGTGTTAAAACCTCTCAGATATCAATCTGAAGAACTATTTCACCATGAGCTATGTAAGCATGAAATGGTTCTACGTAGAGCTCACAGTTCCATATAGAACCATTTCCTTCATTAAAGAACCTTTAAAGAAACTTCATCCATCCTTTTTAAGAGTTAATGGGTTGAAAACCCCAGGAAAATAGGCCAAAACTGATGCAGCAGGCTAAACACCCATTTCACAACTTCAGTATCTCTTTATCTGCCACAAGAACCTCTAGAACACACACGATAGGTTAACGAGCTCCTCCTCGTATAAAACTATTGCCTCATTTGCACTTGAAACCAGCGTCACTACGTACTGTACACACTTTGGTGTTAAAAAACAAAAACGTCATGTTAAAATCCTCTCAGAAGGGCAGGAAAGTGTGACTGCAATTCTGAAACAAACCACTAGAGGTGCTCTTGTAAGGAGCTGATGCTGTGGGTCTAAAAGTGTGGTACTGCTGCTGTGTTCAGCTGCTGAGTTCTCCTCCTCAGTGTGTGTTGATGTGGTAATAAATGTGTTACAGACACGCGGCTGAAGCCTGGAACCCACAGACAGACACTGGATTGAGGCCTGGTTACTGACTGATCACTGTATTGGTGATGCTTTATTCAGAGAGCTGAGTGTTGTATATGTGACATAGCCTGACTGTCCCCTCACTGCAGGTCATCTCAGGTCACATAATGACCTCATGATGTCGGTTTCTACAGTGTTACACAGAGTAATAACTCACTGTCTGCATTGTTTCAAACACAACATAATTTAATATTCATTTTCATTCAGAATCAACAAGAAAAAGCTACAGAGGTCATGGAATCTCGGGCTGCAGAGCCCTGGCGTTGGACACTAATCAGCAAACAGCACACTTTGTAGTTTCTGTGACGTCACAAAAAACAGTGCATTTACATCTATTCCCCTATTCAGTCCGCAGCAGTTCAGCTCTGCTCATTCACACTGAGGTTCTAACCAGTGTTTTTAAATGAAGCACAATGCAGGGCAGCCAATCACAACAGTTATATTACATATATCAGCCTTAAAGGCACAGTAACAAAAACAGCCTGTTTAGAAATTGTGTAGAAATTAATTATGACAATGTTTTTGATAACAATGTAAACTGACCCCAAGAGAAAAAAATAAAATATAAAAAACACTCTTTAAAGTTTTACACTCATACAGCCCTAAAGTTTTACAGCTATACAGCCCTAATGTCTTGAAGCCCTACAGCCCTAAAATCTTACAGCCTCACAGTCCTATTATCTTTAAGCCCTACATCCCTAATGTTTCACAATCATAATGTCTTGAAGCTCTACAGC